GTATAAGAAGAAGAAAAAGGCTGGCTTGTTTGTTTGTTTGAAGAGACAACCATTCCGGGCAGGTTTTTTTCTGTGTGCATAATCCCGTCATTGAGGCAGTGTGATGTGGTGTGTCTGCTATGTCATGTTGTCTGTGTACCGGGTGATGAGTCTGTATATTGTGATATCTGTGTGGTCTGTGTGATTTGTGGGATTGTACTGGGTTGTCTTCCAAATGAAAATACCGACAAGGGAACACACAGGAATGTTGAGTAAGGCTTTAGAAAGCCTGCAGACAAGGGGCTATTCGCTGGGAAAATTGCTGCCCTTATGTTACACCTCTCTGTGGTTTTGTAAAGAATCAACAGGAAGTAAACAGTAAGGAAGGACCGTGGGGAAGTAGATCACAGAAATCTTGAGCAAATGAGGTCGAATTTTTCTCTGTTGTTTACCTCATGCTTAACTCAGGAGGGAGGGATTCAGTAAATACAAACTAAGAACTTTGTAGACTCTTAAGCATTGCCTGAATGCCTACAATTTTAAACGTTTAAGGATTGACTTAGTGCTGCAGGGTGAATTCCAGCTTCTATCAACCTCCCTCTTATCCAGATGTAACATCTAGTTCATTATTACTATTAAATTTGATATTCGGCTTCCCACATTTCCCCTTTTTTATATAAATCATAATTTTGTGGTTATCAAGACAAGCATGATTTCTTCAAGATTCATTCTTGCTTGTTTTCTTTATGTATAATCCAATAAATACAGCCAATTAAGCAAAATAAGTTCACAAGATTCTTCCAAAATTCTTGTGTGATCAGAAGGACTCAGGTTGGTTATTTTTTGAGTCTCTTTTTATTGTCACATAACTTGCATTTCATTGCTTAAGGGTCGGTTTCTATTGCTTTATTACCACAATCCTTGTCAAAACTAGTTTTGATCGATCTCTGGCTTCCCACAGTACTATGTGATGTTTTCTGGGTACTTTCGGTTCTTGTGTATATTGTGTGATGTGTGTACTGTGTGTACTCAGTCCTACTGTGTGAGTTTTGTGTGATAGATGAGTACTCTGTGGCGTGTGAGTGCTCTGACATATTATGTGTCTGCTCTGTGATGTTGTGTGTGTTCTCTGTGGTTTCTGTGTAATGTGTGATATGTGTGTACTCTGTTACGATACATGTGTACTGTGTGAGTCATCTATCTACCCACCTCGAGGAAAACAAATTATATCATTATTCCTTTCATTTTTCTATTAACTCTTTCTAGTTAATAGGTTTTTTTTATCCATTGCCAATGTACTGAATCTGAAAAATAGACTTTCATTACTGTTTGTTCACAGAAGTCTGTCCTCTGTGACTTCCTTTGGTTTGGGTTTTGTATTGTCATACTTGGATTTTGGCAGGTATTCCAAACATCAGTGATCGTGAGGCTTTATTCCGTGAATATACACAGATGAAAATCTTAAGGACTAGCCCACTCTGGCCTTCGATGTTACAACAGATGTCAGCATTGCGTGGCAGAGAAGCTTTAGAAAGAAAGCAAGATGATGACTTTAGGTGAGTTTCAATCAAATAAAAAAAATTCTTCCAAAACCTTGTAAGAAACAGTGAGTTTAGAGACAGTCATCAGAAATTTTAAGATTTATAAAATTAAATACAGGAGCATAGTTTTGGTAGATTTTGACTTTGGAGAGTCCTAAGGCAAAACCCTTATACCTTCATTTTGGTTTTACTACAGGCCCATGAGAGCACACTTATTTACAGCTTAGTGCTGCTTGTTTTTGACCACACATCAAACAGTACAGGACTTATATAAAGGGGTTGCACAGAATCACCCATGAAAGCTGCATCAGAGTTTACAATCTTCCCTCTTTGAAGGAAATTCTCTAGATGTACACCTGTTGCGGACTCACCTTGCTGAAACCACGCATTGTATGTGACAAACGTAGCCAAGATTTCTGTGCCTTCTCATCCCATTGGATGCAGGTGGTGGACTATTGGGAATGAACGTACAGAAACATGAAAAACCTCTATAAATACATTTCCTTTAGTTTTTCAACAAACATTTATCATTTTTATGCAGCTTTATGATTGTACAGAAAATGGGAAACTTATTACTCCTCTCCACCTGTACTAGGACATTGAGAGATCAGAGCAGGTGGAAAAATTCAGAGTGTAGATAGGCTTTATCAATGTCACAAATGTGGTAAATCTGTTTTTTTATCTTTTACATCCAAGGAGATATTCAAGGACACATGTCGCAGAGAAACCTAATGAAAGTAAAGAATGTGTTAAAGCATTTTCACCATTAAGTCAGATCATGGTGCAGGGAAGAAGTCACAGAGGAGAGATAAGTTTTGAACGTAAGAAATGTGGGGAAACCTTCCCTGGATCACATGACCTATGTGAACATAGGAAAACTTATACAAGAGAGAAACCTACTCGGTGTAAGGAATGTGAGAAAACATTTTTTGGATCAAGTCAATGCAGTGTGCGTAGAAGAATTCATACAGGACAGAAACCTTATGAATGTAAGGAATGTGGGAAAACTTTTTCACGATCCACTTTCCTCATTGAACATACTAGAATTCACACAGGAGAGAAACCTTTTGAATGTAAGGAATGTGGGAAAA